ACATACAAACTACCAAGACTGAACCAAGAAGAAATAGAAAACCTGAACAGACAAATAGCAAGCAATGAGATTGAAGCAGTAATCAGTAGTCCCCTCCAAAATGAACAGCCCGGGTCTGGATGGCTTTACTGCTGAATTCTACCAAACCTTTAAAGAGGAATTAATACCAATTCTCTTCAAACTATTCCAAAGAACTTGAAACAGAGGCCATTCTCCCAAACTCATTCTATGAGGCCAGCATCACCCTGATACCAAAACCAAAGGTACAACAAACAAAGAAAACTACAGACCAATATCTCTGATGAACATAGACACAAAAATCCTTAACAAATCCCAGCCATCAGAATATGGAAACACATCAAAAAATTACAAACCATGATCAATTGGGGTTCATCCTAGAGATGCATGGATGGTTAAACACAGGCAAGTCAATAAATGTGACTACCACATAAACAAAATCAAGTACAAAAACCATGATTATCTCAATAGATGCAGAAAAATCATTAGACAAAATTCAACATCTTTTTATGACAAAGACTCCTAGCAAATTAACTACAGAAAGAAAATATCTCAACACAGTTAAAGACAAATAGGACAAACCCACTGCCAATATCATTCTGGGAACAAGAGAAGGATGCCCACTCTCACCACTCCTATTTAACATAGTATTGGAAGTACTAGCCAGAGCAATCAGGCAAGAGAAAGAAATATAGGGCATTCAGATGGGAAAAGATGAAATCAAACTGCCCCTATTTGCAGATGACATGATCCTATATACAGAAAAATCTAATGACTCTTCCAAAAAACTCTTAGAGCTGATTAACAATTTCGGTACAAAATGAACATCCTCAAATCAGTAGCATTTGTATACTCCAATAACAAACTGGCAGAAAAAGAAATCAAGAGAGCAAACCCATTTTCAGTAGTCATCAAAAAATTAAAATACCCATGAATAAATTTAACCAAGCAGTTGAAAGACCTCTACAAAGAGAACTACAAATCACCACCAAAAAAAATTTATAAGGACAAAAAAAGGAAGGAAGATATTTCATGCTCTTGGATTGACAGAATTAACATTGTGAAAATGTCCATATTACCCAAAGTGATCAACAGATTCAATGCAGTCCCCAGCAATACACCAATGACATTCTCACAGAAATAGAAAAAA